TCACTTTTAATCGGGTGACACAACATAATCAAAGATTCGACTTTGTTAAGATTGCAATAAAAAACTCTCATGCATAAGCGGTAAATTAAATAGATTAAATATTATTATAATATTATAATATTTAATTTTTTTTATTGTAAATGAAACAGCGGTAGATTAAATATTATTATAATTGATTTATATGTATATTATTACAATATCTTTAAAAATATTTACAAGGAAATTTCTAATTAAAAATGTTTCGATCCTGCTTTTTATCCGAATTTTTCATTTTATTTTCTCTAAAAACTATTAAGCCTCAGAAATAAAATCATGTGATATGATATCAAATACTGAGAATGTTCGCATGGAACCGATCTATCGCTTTATTTATTATGCATTTAAACAGACGTAATTTATCCGGTTAACTTATTTTGAACAAATCATTTAGAGGGTTATTTGAATTGTTTGGTGCTTTACGTATAATGCATTTCCATAAATATTATTATTGATAACAAATTCTAATAGAATAACCAATAATACTTTTATCGAATGTGATATCGGTCAAAGACCGATAATATTTTTATAATTACAATTCATATATATATATATACCGCGTTAATATTTTGCGGTTTATAAAAAAATTATATTTTTCGTTTTATATTTTGCGGTTTATAAAAAAAATTATATTTTGCGTTTTTCCATCTTTTTTTGAATAAACAACGAAAACCATGAGTTATAACCAAGAAGAAGAAGGTAAAAAATATATAATATTTAATACAAATTAGAATTATTTACAATTTTTAAACTAAATTCGCGATATAATAAAACTAGCTTCAAGCAGCAACAGCAGCAACAGCAGCAACAACAGCAACAACAGCGACAACAGCAACAACAGCGACAACAGCGACAAGGAACTTAAAGGTAAATACACTAACAAGCTGAAATATATTTCTCATGGTGTTTATAAACGGATCGTGTGTTATTAATTTGCCATCAGTTGTCATACGTCACCACGCAACGAATTTTTTTTAGTGTATAAATAAAAATCCTATGTTATATCACATCAGCAATGATGTAAATTGGATTCGCGCAGTAGACACAGCGTACAATACTTTTATTTCCCGCGTATTTCGTTGAAAATATTAGGCGTCATTTTTCTTAGTAGCGCCTATCATTCGCGGAATTTATAACACTGATTCACATGATGTTATATTTCTACTAATTCCGGCTGAAATTATTCTTTGTCACGTGATCCGTTTTTAAACATCCCGTGTCCTATAATTCATACTAACTATATTCTTATTAAAAATAATTTAGATCGTAAGTTAAATAAGTTATAATTTGAACGAAAGAATTAGTTTTTTTTTTGTTGTATTCTATATAATTAAACAATCCATTCAATTCATTTAATGATTAACAAAAATAAATAATAATATAGTCAGTAAGTTATCAATTTATTTCTTTTTAATCGTATTTTACGTAAAATTCGAATAACTAAGTTTTTAATAATTATTTTAAATTAATTATCTTATAGAAAGTAAGTTACACTGTTTAATTATATCGTGCATGTCTATCTTAATATTTACATATAATTCAAATTAACTATATTCTTTATTTAAATAATTAGGTTGTAAGTGATATACTTTATATATATGATATATCTGTAATTTTGTAATAATATATACGTCTAATTATCTATTAATTAATAATATTACAGGGCGTAAGTTAATATAATATCTATTACTATTATTTACATATAATTTAAATTACTAAAATCTTTATTTTAAAAAAATTATTTGGTAATTTATTTTAGTTCGTAAGTTATTATTATTTAAATTTATTATTATATATTTATATATAATTTAAACTAACTAAATTCTTTATTTAATAATATAGAAAGTAAGTTATTTATTTTTATCTCATCGGTATTATGTATACACCGATGAATTTTTTTGTAAATTATATACACCGATGCTCGGGGGCATCGGTGAATATTTTAATAATATACTATAACTTAAGCTAACTAAATTCTATTTAAAAAATTATTCGGTGATTTATTTTAGTTAGTAAGTTATAAGTTATTTATTTAATTCTATTAACATTATTATATAAAATTTATATATATAACTTGATTCTTTATTTTTTAGTTGGTAAGTTATAAAATATTTGATCAATTCTATTTATATAATATTCATAATTAATCAAATATTTCAAAATTATTTGATAATTTATTTAGTCTGTGAGTTATTATAAGTTATTTATTTAATTCTGTTATTACATTAATTTAAACTGTATTAATTTTTGATAATTTACTTTTACTTTAGATGGTGAGTTATTATTACATGTTATATACAGTAATACATATATATATTTTAGTCTAACTAAATTCTTTATTTAAAATAATTAGTTAGGGACGTAGAATGTAAGTTATTTTATTTAATTTTATTATATTAATATTTATTTAAATTTGTTATATTATAATTAATTAAAAATTATTTAATAATAATAGGGAGTAAGTTATTTAATTCTAATATCAGATATAACATATTTATACGTTTAAACTAACTGGATTCTTTATATAAAAAAATTATTTGATGATTTATTTTAGTTGGTAAGTTACTAGTTATATTATTTATTTTATTCTATTATTACATATTTTATATAGTAATATTTACATCTAAATTCTTTATTATGGATTATGGAAAATTATTTAATTATAATAGAAGGTAAATTAAATATTCTATTATTATACAGTATATTTATACCTATTTTAAGCTAATTAAATTCTAATTTATTTTAGATGGTAAATTATACTAAGTTATTAATTATATTTCATTATATTTATATCATAATTTAACTTGATTTTTTCTTTTAAAAAAAAAATTGGTTATTCTAGCTCGTAAGTTATAAATTATTTATTTAATTCTATTATTACATATTTATAATATTTTCATATAATTTAAACTAACTAAATTCTTTATTTAAAAAATTATAGGACGTAAGTTATTTAATAATATAATAATCCACGTCACGTATAATTTAAACTAATTAATTTCATTTAAAAAATTATTTAATAATATAATAGGATGTAAGTTATTTATTTACTTAGTTAAATTTATTATTATTTGCTTATAATTTAAGCTAACTTAATTCTTTATTTATAATAATATAGTGTGTAAGTTATTTAATTAATTCCATTATACATATTTATATCATAATTTAAACTTAATTTTTTTTTCTCTACAAAAAATATTAATAAAATTTATTTTAGATAGTAAGTTATATGTTATTTGTTTAATTCTATTATTACATATTATATAATGTTTAATAATTACTAAATTTTTATTTTTATTTTTATTTTAGTTCGTAAGTTATGAATTATTTATTATTGAAATATTATGTAATATTAATTGTTTATATTGTAATTATAAATTTAACTAAATTCATAGAGCGTAAGTTATTTTATTATTATTATTATGCATATTTATAATTTTTATTATAATTTGAACTAAATTAAATTCTTTATTTATTAATAATTATTTAACAATAAATATAGATCGTAAGTAGTTATTTATTTAATTATATCAATTACATTGTTTATATAATTTTTAAAAACTAATTAAATTCTTTATTATAGGACGTAAGTTATTTAATTTTACTCATTGCTTAAAATTACATATAATTTAAATTGATTAAATTCTTTATTAAAAAAATTAAAAATTATTTTGATAATTTATTTTAGTTGGTAAGTTAATAAGTTATTTATTAAATATTATTATTATATATTTATAATATTTACATTAAAACTAACTAAATTTTTTATTAACTAATAAATAGTAGGACGTAAGTTATTTATTTAACTCTATTATTATTACATCTTTGTTAATATTTATTTATAACTGAATTCTTTAATTTTTTCATAAATATTTATACAATTAAATTTTAGCGTAAGTATTATTATTATTATTATTATTATTATTATTATTTAATTTTAGGTTTATATAGATTTTAATGTTATTTTTAAATTATAGACTTGTACCAAGTGGAAACACACTTTTAGATGAATTCTTGAACGAATGGACATTAAAATGGTTCACGTTGGAAATTAAAGATATTACATATCTTGATAAAGGAGGAAATGGAACCGTATATAAGTCAATTATTAAATTAGAAAGTGGTGAACCTGTTAATGTGGTACTTAAATGCCACAATAATATTAACGAAAATATAAACGAATTTCTAACTGAAGTATGATAATGCATTATTTATTCATTTTTAAATTTTAATTATAATTCATTTCAGTTATGCTAATATATCTAAATTTTTTTATAGTGGAAATATCATAAGGATTGTTTATATTCATCTGCGATCATAAACCTACATGGGTTTACCAAAATTTCGGGTATTGATGGATACATGGTCATCATGGATTATGCAAGTGAAGGAAGCCTAAGAGAAAACTTGCAAACAATAAGCAAAAATAATTGGGAAAAAAAATTATATATGTTATTTGGGATTATTTCTGGACTACAAGATATTCATTATGTAAATCTTATACATTGTGATTTTCATGATGGTAATATTTTACTACATAAATACGTAACTGGTAAAGTTAAAGTATTCATAAGCGATCTAGGCTTATGTAGACCTATTAAATCATCTTTAAAAAAAGATGACATTTATGGTGTTATACCATTTATGGCTCCAGAAATTTTAAGGGGTAATTCTTATACTAAAGCTAGCGACATATATAGTTTTTCTATGATCATGTGGGAATTTATATCTGGAGTTCCACCTTTTAATGATAAAGACCATAATCTCCAACTTAGTTTAGATATTTGTAGAGGTGAACGCCCAGAAATTCCCAAAGGCATCCCACAATGTTACACTAATTTAATGAAAAGGTGTTGGGATGAAGATCCAAATGAAAGACCATCAACATCCGAGGTTTTTAAAACAATTAGGGATTGGATTTACTTTCATGATAATGAAAATATTGAAGATATTGAAGAAAAAAAAAAAGAGCAAATTATGGAATTTATAAATGCACCAATTGTACAGAATAATATTACTACTCATCCACGAGCGTTTTATACAAGTCGCTTACTTGATTTTAACAGTGTACAATTAAATAAGAATCTACTAAGAACTGAATGTCTAGAATGTATGGTTGATGACTAATGTAGTAATCATAATTCTTTTAATTCTTTCTTTATATCAAACTGTAAATATTGTATATATAATTTAATTTATCAATCATATCTGTATATATTTTATCTGTATATATTTATATATAATTTATTAATTTAACTGAACAATAAAAAAAAAAATTAAACAAGATAATCTTAAATCAATATAACCAGATTTAAGATTACCTTTAATATTTCAATTTACTTTCTAAAACTGGATTAGTTTGTGATATTGTTAAATTTCAGATACGGGAATTTGAGACGTGATCGTATTTATCATTAAATTGATTGTGGTCTATTATCATTCAAATCATTAATTTCCGATTTCATTTTATTTTTTTTTTTGAATAAAATGTATCATATTAGCTGATCAGAAAAGCCTCCCATAATTTTATATGCTAATGACAATAAGCAACCATCAGTTATATAATAAACCCATCAACTGAGTTTAAATATTAATTGGCTTGATGTTTCTAATCAGCCGATATGTAAAATGTAAAATGTATAAAATGTTCAATGTTTCTCCCTACATAGGACATTTTTTCCATATGTGCAAAATAGTTAGTGCATTAAATCCAAAATAATAATGGCACGTAGTGAATATATATCAGATATTGTTATATCTAAATTTGGTAAAAAGAGCAAATATTATTCAATATTAAAGATGATTGTTGTCATGTGCCACGATCATTCAACACCCACCTCCATATTGAATACTCCACGCCTAATAACTCTATGGTGATGATTGTAAAAGCAGCGGTGGTAAAGATGGAAGAACATTTAATTAGTGGCGTATCTCAAGTTGCGCCACATTGTGTTACGTCGTTGACGTGAATTCAGTATGAACATATCAAAAAATATAAATATTCTTTAACAAGTTCGAAAATTATTATGTATTAAAAAATAAATTTCATCTTCCTTTATTGCGTTTACACTCTTTAATTAGCAGTACTATTTATCTCCTAATCTTTAAAATATTATTAATTAAATTAATTGGATCGAAATCCATATTATTATCATTATCATCTTATCTTATTAGCATTAGTTTAATATTTATATTTAAATGTTTCCAATGGATTAAGAGGAAGATTAGTGGATATATGCCTAACTGATATTTCTGTTTTCTTATCGTTCGTAAAAAAAAAATCTAAACCTTAAAAACACACAAGTGCATGTGTAACAATGAATTTTAATCACTGGCATGACGCTAAAAAAAGTTGACGTAACTACAAAGTCCCCTATCATGAAAAATTATGTGAAAAAAGATGAATAAAAAATTAATTAACACAATTTCCATATATTTTGCATTTTTACAATCCTAACTACCCTTTAAACATGAACCCTTGTTATATATTTTATTAATTTAATTTGATACCCATTTCAATGATCATCATGTAAAGTTAATTGTGTGATAAAATTTTTTTTGAAAAAAAAAAAAAAAATAATAATAATAAAAATAAATTGATTACTTTCTTTTGATAAAATGTTAAAAAAAAAATTTTTTTATCCCCTGTGTAAAAATTTTATTGCTACACATCAGTTTATTCGTTTATTTGTTTATTATGTTTCAATATGTTTGTACCAATTATCTTATAATTAGATTAAAATAAACAACTTGTTCCTTTTATAGACTTAAAAAAGTATCATGAAATATTGAAATACGCCCTAGATGATCACATTGTTCTACAGCATTTTTTACATAATTCATTCAGATGCCTGAAACAAGTCGTCTAAAAGCCATGTTCGTTCACGTGATCATAAGCCAATCATAATGTCTGTCTATTTATAGTGTCCAATCAAGGTACGTTTGTATCACGTGATCGAACACGGCTTAGACATCCCCTGAAACAAACGTATGGAACTGGAAGCATTTCACGTGATCTTTGGCGTTTGGTTAAAGATCTGAGGGCAATATTATGAATTTACGAACAGTTTACTGTGATAACTACTCATGTATAAGCGCCTAAATTTATTTCAGAAAAGAAAAATTTAACTCCGAAACATTTCCATTTTTCCAGAATACTTTCCGAATTTGATAAAAATGTCAGAAATTGAATCTCCAATTGAATACTTGGCGACATCTTTAATATTTTCTCATCAGTTGGTGGGCCTCGATCAAAAAGCCTCTTAATTCATTTTTAATATACAGCATCCCGCGAATAAAAGGTTATTTAGTATTTTTGAATCATACGTATGACCAGCTTCAAACGACAAATAATAAATAAGATTCTTTAGTCAAAAATAATTTTTTGCCTTCATGAAACCCACTCTTTAACACTAAAAAACAAACTAGCTGCCCTATAAAAAGAATTCTGGAAAATGATCATTTTTTTTGTTTTATTCCGAAGAAACTCAGACATGTAACCATTTTTCTGAAAATCATCAGTTCAGCAACAGTTCGGACGGCGCATACAAAAACAGTCTATTTCTGCTGATACCATACTCCTTAACCTAGACTATGATATATACAGTAATTTTATATCCTACAAGTTTGAATTTTTTAAGGCTACTCAAATTCTTTAAATTTAATCATCAAAAACTGAAAATCCGATTTTTTTAAGATGCCTGCTGACAATGGGTTGATGTAGTCAGAAAGTTAGTTTTGCGTTAAGCGTTGCCAAAAATAATGATTACTTGACCTTGTAGAACAAAATCAACATCAAAATATGCCAATTAACGTAATTTATATAATATGAAATCTGTGCCGGATCTACAGATTAATTTTGTACCGTAGAGTGACGATTTTTTATTAAAATGATGGTGTTCATATCAATAAAAGTTAAAAAATTTAGTAATTAGAAACCAACTATTGAAACGAATTAAAAATTTTCATCATTAACAATACAATATTTAGCATATAAAATTCAAATATGCAAAAAACATACAATTTAGAGGTCGGAACCGACAAAAAAAAACTTTAACCGGATAAAAACAAATAATTATTAACCGATTGATATTAAAAAAATTAAAAAATTTTTTTTTAGCTGTAGGGAAGTCATTTTATATTAGTCTCATTATTAGTTATTATGCAGCCAAATAGGATCATGTCGTATTTTTAGATAAATTATTATATAATATACTGTATATATATATTGCATAAATATCTTTAATTACGTCATTTGGACTAAATATCACATATTAATCTTTATATCTTTTATGGTAAAATACATAGTGGTTCCGAAGCTCGGAATCCCGATGGTACAATATCCCGACATTCTAAATCTTCAGCTTCGCTTGGATACCAAATTCCAAGTACGTTTCAAAAAAATATTTCGAAACTTTATTCCTTTATAATCCCGACACCCTATAATAATAATTTTCTATTAATAAATTTCAAGATTTTTCATTTCGGTATTTTGAATTCCGAGTTTATTATATCATTCCGGTATTTTGATTTTTCGGGATTTTGAATATTATACCTACGGGATTCTGAGCTTGTACCAGACCCTGTTTTCTGTGCTAATAAATAAATTTATATAGTTTATTTATTATTGCTGATCTGGGAAATAACTGGTTTATACCGCGGAGACTAAAAATCTATTTGTCTGTTATTAGGTTGGCATAAAAAAAAATGGTTTTTATTTAAAATACGTATAGTTAATATCAATTAAAATTTCGATAAAAAATAAAGAGGTTATGAAGTAAATTCGAAAGTATACAACACTCTCACTACATAAAAAATTTTATCCGTTATTTCTGTAAAAACTTCGTAAAAATGAGCCTTTCACGGATCCATTCACGGAAAATGCAAATAATTCGATAAATTCCGTGATATAAGGTTATTAATTCCAACCTTTCACGGAAAAAAGATGGAATATAAAAATCAGATCGACTTTTTATAGGGATCTCTATAATTCTAAATAAAAATTTTCGTACTAATAAAATTCCGAACCATAAATAGTTACTGTATATCCACCACACTACCGTCCAACATTATTAATAATTTGACCAAAAGGTTAAAAATCTTAACTCTGGCCGAAACTAAAGTTACTACCGTCTAGCACTGCATATAGTACCCGAGTCTTATACAAAAAAACCTGGGTCACAAATTGAATAATACCTGGGGCGAGGGGGCACAATACAATTTTTACAGAATTAAGCTTAAGTTACCAGAATTAAGGAAGGTATTAATTGAGAGTAAAATTTTTGTATCTAGTAAAGTACCCGGGTCGACCCATTTTTAGTTCGTACAAATCTACATTAATATATGTAAGAACTTTAGAACTTTCTGAATCTAGGGTGAAACAAATTAATGAGTTATGATTATGTTAAATAAAATAAAGGAAACTATAAACTATATATATATATATGAAATTGCCATTTACACGCTATTGAGAAATACGCCAAATGCAATTTGATCAACGTTCACATGATATCATTATTATAATCATTTTATTTTGAGATTTGGAGATTATTGAACAATCATTTTGAATTCATTGTGTGAATCACTAATCTCTTTCAATTTGACCATTTTATCAATATTTAATATAAATAACGAGAATTAAAACTTAATAATGTTTTAAGATTTTTTTTTTTTAAGAAAAAAAAAAAAATTTTAATTTATTCACAATGTTATCAACGTTTATTTCTTCGTTTAAAATTTCTGATATATACTATCTTTTAACAACTTTCATAATTCTCTATGTATCTCGATATTATTACAATTATCTCACTCGCATAAATCCTTTACCTGGTCCATTCCCTCTTCCTTTATTTGGTAATGTTTATCAAACACTTGGATATGGATTTGTTGATTGGTTAATGTTATTGCATAAAAAGTATGGAGATATTTTTGAAGTATACTTTGCTGGGCAGCGTACAATCATATTATGTAATACTGGTTTAATTGAAAATATGAATGTATCTTCGACAAAAACTAAATATCCCTATAGACTAATTATACCAGAAGGATTTAAAGAATATGGATTAGATGGTACAGGTTTAGTTAATAATACTGATCCCAAAAATTGGAAATATAATCGTCAATTTTTTACACAAGCTATGATGACACCAAGTTTTAATCATCAAGCTGTTGAATGGACGAATGAATTATGGTTAGAAATGGAATCTTATTGGAATAATCTTGGAGAAAATCGTGAATTGGATCTTTTACAATGGATGCATAGATTTACAAACGAAATGATTTTTAGAATTTCAACTGGTGTAAAGAATAATTGCGTCTATTCTTATTATCATACTCTCATGCCTGAAGATAATACTTTAAATGAGGAAGAAAAAGAAAAAATTAAAGAATCTGAAAATGTTATTCAATCACTTGAAGTGTTATTAACTGAAGAGGAATCGTGTATTTTTTCATTTTTAATAGATTTATGCGTCATTATATTCCTTTTATTAGTGGAAAAGTAAAAAGCTTATTGAAAAACAGAGATTATTTTTTCGATAAATTATATGATATTATTAAAAAAAGAAGGATTGAAATTGATAATACACCATTAGATCAACCTCTTCGTCATGATATGTTAACATCCTATATAACCGCGAATACACCGCGGGATATAAACTTTGTGAGACATGGTGATACCGACGCCGATTTGTTAAGACCAATGACTGACAAACAAATTATGGGTAATATACTCGATGCTATGGGCGGAGGTACTGATACAGTAAGTAATTAAATTTGCATTCATTCACTTATTAAAACTAAAATAATTTTTAAAGATTTTTTAAAATCTCAGACAGCGAATTTGCTTTGCTTTACTGCATATTATCTCGGACATTATCCAGATGTGAAACGACGATTACGTCAAGAATTTGATGAAATTCTTGGAAGTGATTTTACAAAATCCATAACAAGTAAAGATCTTGATGGACTAGAATATTGCGAAGCAGTTATCAAAGAAGTGTATCGTCTTACTCCTATAGCTTTTTTGGTTGGTCGTGTAAATGTTGAAAAGGATACAGTTGGAGGATATACCTGGCCAGAAGAAACCCAATTTCAGATACTTTATTCAGCTATTATGAGACGTAAAGATTATTGGACTGATCCTGAAAAATTTGATCCCGATAGATTCTACAAAGTTGAAGAAAGCGATAAATATTTACCTGAAAAACAACATATCAAAACTTCTTACACTTTGTTTGGTGATGGAATTAGAATCTGCCCTGGAAGAAAATTGGCAATGATAGAATTAAAATTTTTATTATCCTCAATTTATAGAAAATATGATATTGAAATGGCAGATCAAAACGCACCACTTAATTATTTTTCAGGTTTACTCACGGTTTGTAATGACTTAATTGTTAAGGTTAAACCAAGAAAATTCTAAAATAACGAAACATACGTGTGTAAATGCATATATACTTCGTTATGAATTATGTTCCAAAATACTTAACATTAATTTCTTTCATAGTTTGTTTTAAGGGTTAAATAAAAAATATACTTTTTACGTGGTTCTATTTTTATGTAATGTACATGTATATAATCGTTGCAATGTTACATTATTTCTACATATCTCGATATTATTATAATAACTTCACTCGTCTAAATCCTTTACCTGGCCATTTCCAGTCTTTGGTAATACTCCAAAAATTTTGGTTATATATTTTACGACTGGTTAATTTTATTGCTTAAAACATATGGAAATATATTATTTTTAGAATTTATTTTTTTTTAATAGCTTTATGCGTCATTATGTCCCTTTCATTTGTGGGAAACGTGGAAAAGCAAATAGCTTATTAAAAGTAGAGATTATTTTTACGATAAAATAAATTGTATAGAAGGATTGAAACTGAGAATTAAATCAACCTGTCATGATACGTTAACCTCGAATACACCACGTGATATTAACCTAGTTTATACGATAGCTAACGCTAAATTTTCATAAACACTTAATTCTAATTGCCTTTTCGAAGTGATAAAAGTCCGTCATTGGAAAATTTTGACGTATTATAGGTCGCAACAGGATTTGGAAGAGACACTGGCTTTGGCAACAACAAAAGGAATACAACAAAATGGTCTTTTCGAACTTTCAGGGAAGTGAAGGATCAGATAGAAAAAAAGAAGGTATAGGAGAAGAGTTCGCGTACAAACCGGAGAAACCCTTTTTGAACGGCAAGAAAGAACTTATCATTTGGATCGGAGAAGGTTCAAGATTATTACGAATGGGCTTTAGATGGACTCTTGGAGAAAGAGGATGATTAGCGACCTTAATGGACGATCAACAATTACGTGATACCGATTCAGAGTGGTGTATCACGATATTAAATGTAAATAGAAAAATGACCATTACAAATTTTTATTTATCTTTTGGACAGAAAGTTAATTTATTTTTTGTGTTCAACAGTATTGTTAATCGAATGATCACGTGACCGACGATCATGTTACGAATATTGCAAAATGTTACGAATGTTCGATATTGAACATATAGCACATATTTAATATATTTAATATATAACACTTATTAAACATGTAGCATTTATACAATATATTAAACATGATTAGCATAGATTTTACTGTTATAAATATATGTGTTCCAAGTCAATGTAAAAACAGATAATGTGTCTTGAATTTAATAAAGCATCATTGTTTTATCTTAGGTTTTGTTATATTTGTGAATCAATAATTGTATATGCATTACCGTAATCGCATTTGATTTATTTGTTCGTGTTACCTTCGTAAATTGATCGACAGTGATACACTTATTAGTGTTTTTATATAATTTATTTCATTACGCGTTTGTTAACATTATTAACATTTATTTTATTCATTAATCCTTCTGCTTACCATATACATATACGCTTATTTTTATAAGCATTCAAGAACTGGCATAACAGTATAAAGGGTTAACTGTTAGTATTAACAATAGACTGGCTAAGAGGGTCGGTTAACTTTGTTCGAAGCAGGAAGAATAACTGGTATAACAGGAGACACATTTCTGATGTGTTATGTAAATTTTTTCTTTGTATTAGTTCTGCATCTATTACAAATATATTAAATAAATTGATAACTTTCTTACAAAAAAAAAAAAAAAAAAAAAAAAATCTGATCAGCATTAAAAATTGCCAAAAATAAAAAATACTAACTTTGGCGAATTTAGCCTCGGCTGGAGTTTACCAAATTACTGGATCTGCGGGTCCCGAATTTATGTTGTAAACTAATAATTATTATTGTACCATTTTCGGAAAAATTTTTGAAATGTAACATAGACACTGCCATTTTTTGTATACATATTTATATTTATAAGTTTCAATTTATTTTTTCATTTTACCGAATATTTCATGACATAGCTCGTTACTTTATTTTATAGTTTTTTTATCAAAAATAGAAAAGCCTTGAAGCTTTAAAGAGATGACGGATGACAGATGACTCTCGTATCTTTACAATGGAATCATCATACTATTTTTAATGGCGCGTTTTTTGAATAAAGAATTATGATACTGAATATGAAAATGTATAAATCAAATAAATCAACATAAGATAAATGTGTATCTCGCCCTCCGTATGACGCTTAAATCCAACAAAAATTTGTAAAAAAGAAATTCTTAATATAAAAAACATTTTTAAAAGTCATACAGTATGTGTAAATGTGTAATTTTGCCTGTTTTGCAAGTTTACTTAAAGCACCAAAGATGGTATTGAATGTCGTTTTTAACTTATTTAACAAAACTTTTTTTCTTTCAATTTTTTTTCCGTTAAATCACGTGATATTTTAATTCTAGCCAGAATTAACTGATCGGCATAAAAAATATCCTTTTTTGGGATAAAGCGAGATCTAAGCAGGGCTGGATATAAATTTACCCAGCATTTTTTTGAAATTAATTTTATATTATGAAATATTTTTCTTTATTAAATTTCGCCGTATTGGATTACGACCTGCCTATGTTTTGAATTTTACTTTTACGTCTAACAATAAAAATTCTAATTTCGCTTGACAATCTTTTGTATTTTGTTTGCATCATTAATTTAATCTTGGCACATTTTATAAATTAAAGTTATATATTTATTTGTAATGAAAATAAAAAGAAAGTAAATTTTAATTTAATACTTATAACTCACATCTCTTGGTGTAATTTTAACAATTAATTCTTTACAAGTTGTAATTAAAGTAGAATTATATTTAAGTAGTGAATCCATATCTGCTAATTCAAGATCATATTTTCTATAAATTGATGCTAATAAATATTTTAATTCCATCATTGCTAATTTTCTCGCAGGACAGGTTCTAATTCCACCTCCAAACATAGTAAAAGATTTTTTAACATATTGCTTTTCAAGTAAATATTTGCCTTTTTCTTCAATTTTGTAAAATCTATCAGGATCGAATTTTTCAGGATCAGTCCAATAATCTTTACGTCTCATTATTGCATAATAAAATATTGAAAATGAAGTTCCTTCTGGCCAATCGAATCCTCTGATGACATCTTTTTCAACATTTACACGATTAATCGAAGAAAATACGGGACAATGTCGATATACTTCGTTAATAATTGCATCACAATATTGCAATTTATCAAGATCATTATATGTTATGAATTTTGTTTTAAGAACTGTATTTAATTCTTTTCGAAAACGTTGTTTCACCATAGGATAATGTCCAAGATAGTACACGATAAAGCAAAACATATTTGCTACCTGAAATATTATTATTATTTTTTTTTTAAAAAAAAATTCAATATTCTTAATATTCTTTAAAAAAAAAAAGGAACTTTTTTACTTACATTACTGGTCCCTGCAGTTATAAAATCAATCATACTTCCGAAAATCTCTGTATCCGCCATTGGTCTTAATAAATCAGCATCGACATGTTTTACCGAGTTGATATCATGTGCCACATTTGCGGTTATGTGAGATGTTAACAAATCATGACGAAGAGGTTGATCTAAAGGTGTATTCTCAATTTCAATCCTCCTTTTTTTAATAATATCATATATTTTATCATACAAATAATCTCTATTTTTCAATAAGCTTTTCACTTTTTCACGAATAAAAGGAACATAATGACGCATGAACTTATTAAAATCGTAAAAATAAATAATTCCTTTCACAAAAGTGTCAATTGATTGAATAAAATTTTCAGATTCTTCAATTTTTTCTCTTTCTTTTTCATAAAAAGCGTTATATTCAAGAGCAATCTTTTTATAATGAAAAATAACAGCGTCATTTTTCTTACCAGTTGAAATTCTAAAAATTATTTCATTTGTAAACCTATTCATCCATTTAATAAGATCCAATTCGCAATCTTCTTCGAGACTATTCCAACAAGTTTCCATTTCATTCCATAATTCATTAATCCATTCAAAGACTTGATTATTAAAACTTGGACTCATCAAAGCTTGAGTATAAAGTTGACGTTTGTATTTCCAATATTTTTGATTATTATTACTGGCTAATCCTTGTAATTTATATTCAATGGCTCCTTCAAATTGAATATTTCTAAAAGGATATTTAGTTTTTTCTGAAGTTATATTCATATTTTCGATCAAATCAATGCTACATAATACGATTGTACGTTTCCCTGCCATATTTATTTCAAAAATATCTCCATATTTCTTATGCATTAACATCAACCAATCATTATATTCCAATCCTCTTTTTTGATGAATGTTACCAAGAATTGGAAGTGGGAATGGACCAGGTAAAGGATTTTGACGAGTGAAATAATGATAATAATATCTAATTACATAAAGAATTATATGAACTAACAAAAGAGAAAATGCATTGATAATAATTGAGGGTATCATTTTTTTTTTAAAATGTAAAAAAAAGGATGTAAGTAAAGAACTTATGTCTTTATATTTATACCGAAATTTAAGTTTCTACTTTAAAAATTTGCTAATATTGGATTACATTGATCCGTGGATAATGGCATCTGATTATAATTTTACACAATAGTTTCATGAAACATTTAAATGTATTAGATGTACAAAAACTGGTTATTTGAAGTCATGTGACACCGTTTAAACGTCCTATTATTTTTATTTATTTTTTTCTTAAATGATTAATGTTGAATTATAATTACCCGGTTTATTACAATATTATGCTAGCCATTTGATTTCTTGATTTGTAACATTTGTAACAGATAATCCTTGCAAGACCCGAGATAATATCCTTGCAAGACCCGAGTTATAGTTTTGCAAAACCCGAGATATATCTTTGCAAGACCCGATATATATACATAGAATCAGGCCCAGGAGTGGACATTTATTCAGGGCCGGAATTAAGATAATGTTAGTCAGTATCTAAAAAGTATAATAAAAATTTTGACCGTATTATCCGTATTATCCATAAGAGGTAAGATCTACATTATTATTTTGTACTGACAGGAGATAAAAAATTTTTTCCGATGACAATCATTCCTTATCTATGATGGGGCGCATCTATATATTGAATAAATATAGAATATTTCTAAATTTAAATAATTCATTGATTTTCTAAATTTCAATATTTCATTAAAATTTTAATTAAACTGAAATTTAAACCGATAAAATTATAGTTTAAAGGATTCTCTTTCATACATAAGATTGCTTTTTACGAGACGTAAAGATTAAAGATTATCGGACTGATCCTGAAAAATTCAATCCTGATAAAGTTTACAAAGACTGAAGAAAGTGATTGAAAGACAAGTTAAAGTTCTTTCACAATATTTAGAAATGGAAGGTCAAAATGCACTACTTAATTATGATTCGGGTTTACTTACATCTGTAAAGACTTAATCGTTAAGGTTAAAATAACGTAACTATGTACAGTAGTTTTATAATTTATCCTTCTCCTTGAGTTTGACATTTTTAGAATGTATTGTTTAGAATCAGTAAGTATGTATTTTCTCATTAAGGAATTATGGCTTTTATTATATCTATTATTTTTCGCTTTGCACTTCTAAATTACTTTTTTAAAAAAATTTTCACGCAAAATGGTACATGATCAGCCATTAGTCAGCGTTAAAAAATATACTAATTTTGGCAAATTTAATCTCGGCTGGAGTTAAGTTCCGGATCAACATAATAAATAGATACCCGAATTTACCCGATGCACCTGCTTTTTTTTTCAAACCGGGTCCAAATTTAAATGAAAAAATAATAAATTAAAATATAAATATTAAATTTTTTTAACTGGAATTAAATAATATTAATTTGAAATCTTAAATTAAAATCAGAAATATATTGAATAATCTGTCAACTATTATGGAACATAAAATTGAAAAGCCGTCATTCAATGAAACGTCCGATGAACAATTATCGTAATACAGTATAAGCTAAAACTTATTTCCGTAAGTTTTCCGAGATCATCATCTGGCAGGTTAGGAGTTTCCTTATTTTGATAATAACAAAGTCCCACGAATTTTTTATATAGGATACGTTTTTTTGGTAACAATAAGGGGTTTAAAGAAATTTATAGAAAGTAAAATTATTTGTGTCGCCTTAAAAATATATCGTTAATCGGAGTTTTTTTTTAAAAAAAATAATTGCAAAGGATTTTAATTTGGTGGCATACGGGAAATTTCCTTCCGAAATATGTATGGTACGAGGAATTTAAATAAAATCTTACATAAATGGATATTAACTAAACAATTGCTAATGAAAAAAACTATTGTATATATAATTAATGTAATATATAAATGCGCAGGAAACGCGCTTTCCAAAATTCAATAATTCTTTTTTTTTTTAAAAAAAAAATAAAATAATAAATATTTCAACAATGATATAATTGATTACCTCTTCATTTTAGTTCATTCGGAATTTCCGATATTTTTTATCTTTCCATTACTTTCATAATTCTTTATGTATCTCGATATTATTTACAATTATTTCACTCGTATAAATCCTTTACCTGGCCCACTTCCACTTCCAATGTTTCACCAAAAATTTGGATATGAATTTAATGATTGGTTAATGTCATTGCATAAAAAATATGGAAATAAATTTTACATCAAGTGATATTAACGTTGTGAGACATGGTGACACTCATCAATGTCTCATCATGCTAATATTGAGAAGGAAAAACTTTTAAAAATATATATATATACATATATATATATATATATATTTATTTATTTATTTAACTTTTAAATCTTTTAAAATCATAGACGGCGAATTTATTTTGCTTCGTCGCATATTATCTTGGACGTTTTCCTGAAGTTAAGCAACGATTATGACAGGAATTGGATGACGTTATCGGAAATGATTCTACAAAACCAATAACATACAAACATATTGATGAATTACGTTATTGCGATGCAGTTATTAAGAAAGTATATCGACATTTCCCGTAACTTTTTCACTTGGTCGTGTAAGTGCTGAAAAAAAGAAGACGGAGGATATATTTAGCCAGAAGAAAATACTTTACTGTGCAATAATGAAACGAAAGGATTATTAGACTGATCCTGAGAAATTCGATCCTGATCGATTTATAAAATTGATGAAGATGATAAATATTTACTTGAAAAACAACACGTTAGAACTGCTTTCTTAATTTTTGGAGGTGGAATTGAAGCCTTTCCTGGAAGAAAATTAGCGATGGTAGAATTAAAATGTTTATTAGCCTCGATTTTATAGGAAAATATGATATTAAAATGGTAGATAAAAATGCACCGATTAATTATGAATCTGGTTTCATCACAGGCTGTAAAGATGGAATTGCGCGTTAAAATTAAACCAAGAAAATTATGGGAATAATGTTATAAAAAATTTGAGTAACCGATATTTTTTCATAATAGCTCGAAAGCTCATTTTTTTTATTATTTATATTTATTTCTAAAAAATTTATCGTAATTTTTAATTGTTTATTTGATAAAAGAGATTACTAATGTGTATTAAACCTTTGAAACCTTAATTTAATCGAAAGAAAAATCCACTTACTCTGGCTAGAATGTTTGACACAGCTAATGCAGAGATGCTATATTTATGGCTAATTATCAAGGTTGAATTTATTTTGTTACTATTTCCAAGACAGGAAATTTTAAATAATTATTGATTTTATAGGATCATTACCAAAACTATAATACGCTTTTATACTTAACATTGTTATATGATTTTTAATTTTTCCGAATGCTCAATAAAAACAAAAGGAAGCTGATACATCATTTCAGCATAAATATTTATGTTCATAAAAATTAATAACATTGAGTAATACGGTCAGTATAATAAGTTTATTTGATCTCATTTGCTGAAAGATGAATCGTTCTTGTTAGATTTAGTAACGTCAGAATTAAGATGCGCAGGTTCAGAATTCACTAGAAATGAATATAATTATTTGAATAATTTTTTTTTTTTTTAGAAAAAAAACATTTATGACTCGATCAACTCACGAAACCTAAATAATTTTTATAACTAATGGAAGCTCAATATAGAGTTATACACACAAAAAGTAATAAAATCGGCTTCTCCCTGTAATACAGTATACATACGCAGTTAAAGTATAAACATAATTTGTATTGTCACGTGTATTTTCATTATATAACCCGAATTGAATGAATCAATGGTTCATCCGCTTGACATGTCAGTCGAGTTTTGTGTAATTCATTTTAAATCAGATATAGAACTAAATGTTATTCATTAATTACAATTAAAATAAAAAAGTTGTGTTCAACGATTTTGGCAATGTTTTATGTGTAATTATTTATTGTATAAACAATTTTATGATAGATTATGATGAGATCTATCTGCTTTTCTTATGCTCACAATAAAAAATTGAAGTGAGAATAGAATTTTAACAACAAGAATATATGTAATATCGATATTGCGAGAAAAAGTTTTTATTATTTATTAGGTTATTAATTTTATATTATTTAAAGACGAAGTCGCTAACTTTTAAATAAAAGTTTTTTTTTTTATATAAAAAAATCTGTATTTTACGAGAAATCCATTGAACAATTAACTTTATAACGGATTCCTTAACGTACAGTGGGGTGTACGATATTAACGCCAGAGTTCAAGTGCATAACTCCTAAACTCTGGTAGGATGTATGTACACCCACCGTACGTTAAGCTGATTATAAAAAAAAATCGATGTGCGGAGTTGATCAAAATTACAAACAAATTTGGCCTGCACTATGGCTAGCTTTAAATTATACAGTATTATATTCATGGGGATTCCTTAATGTACAATGGGGGTGTACGATATTAATGTACGAACTGGCCGGAGTTAACGTTAACGCTATCACGTGCAAGTGCATAACTCCTAAACTCGGGCCAGTTTGTACGTTAATATTGTACACCCTACTGTACGTTAAGGACGCCCTATATTCATAGAGTACTCCATTCAGAACTGATATAAAATTTCAATTATATTTTTCTTAAGAAATAAACATGATCATATGTCAAACATCTGTGTTTATAACGCCTGAAAGGTTTTTATTCGGAAAAATGTCCTATAAAAAATATTTGTCTGATAAATATTCGGAATGGGGTCGATTTTCCGAACACTCGCACGATATTATACAATATTTGTTACAATTTAATACAAGATGCAGAGATTGAGAATTTTCGACCACATAAAAAACGTACAATATCATGATAATTGTCCAATAAATGTCAAGTAAATGTTCGGAACGGGTCAATTTTCCGAACAAAAAACCGAACAGTGTTTGGACAACTTTTTTTATAGGGTATTCTTAAATGTTATTTCTGTTACGGTAATTTTGATTCTTTATTATACAAGTCTATAAACAAATTCAATTTGAACAATTGATAAGATCATTCAGGCTGACAGGTTTTCTCGATTGTGGCAATTTCTCGCTAAAAAGGCCTAACGAAGTACTGTATTATCCCATTTGCTCTCATTGCAAATGGAACAGAATTAAGTTTATTCACTAAAAGTACAATGCGCTTTCATTGTTTCAAATCAACCATACTGCATACAGTTTAGGCTGGTGAATGATTAGAGAAATATCGTCATTCGTCAGTGTCAGTCGTATCTTCACGAATAACTTAGAGTTGATCACAACAAAATAAAATGGAAATAAAATACATCATTATGGTGGTGATGGTTACGAAAACAATAATCTGTCATAATAAAAATTAATTAATTAGTACGTGATAAGTCTTTAAATAATTATCATTATTGCCTATAAAAAATTTTATCCGTTATTTCTGTAAAAATGAGCCTTTCACGGATCCATTTACGGAAAATATAAATAAATTTGATAAATTACGTGATATAAGGATATTGATTCCGGGAATGAGCCTTTTAGAATGACTTTTTTTACAGGGTTGTTTCCAGGCTTAAAATAATCGTCGGATTCGTAGGAATTTTTCTTTATATCGATATTTTGTTTTTTTTTGTACCGACAAACACTCACTAAAATGGCTACGTGATTTTTGAATATTTAGTAGGTTTTCCAGGAGTTTATATATACACTATTTTAATCAAGCCGCCCTTGATACTCTGCAGTATCACGTGATTTCACAACAATTTTTCTACCCACGTGACCTAAAAATAATCATCACATACCCCACCGTGTTTTTTCACAGTAAATGTCACCGGTCACGTGGGGATAGAATTTAACATGAACGGATAAATAGTTCATCCACTAGCAGTTATGTTACATGAGTTTTTTTTTTAAAATGATTCAATATTTTTCATATAATTGATTTTAAGAATGAAACTTTAAACCGGTCAAATGCTTTAATTATTTATGGAAAATATTTTTTTTTTTACAAAAAATTTTGGATACTCAATTTGTAAACATAAAATTACCATAAATCATCAAAACATTGACCGATTTAAACAATTTTTAATTTTGATTTATACGAGAAACAATCTTTCTATCGAACATATCGAACAGTTATTATCTATAATATACATATATAAATACGCAAGAAACGCGCTTCCAAAATTTAATAATTTTTTTTAAAAAAAAATAAGAAATATTTCAACAATGATATCAATGATTACCTCTTCATTTAGTTCATTTGGAATTTCCGATATTTTTTATCTTTTCATAATTTTCATAATTCTCTATGTATCTCGATATTATTATCATTATTTCACTCGTATAAATCCTTTACCTGGTCCATTCCCACTTCCAATAGTTGGTAATCTTCATCAAAGATTTGGTTATGAATTTAATGATTGGTTAATGTTATTGCATAAAAAATTTGGAGATATGTTTGAAATAAGCTTAGTGGGACAACGTATGATAATATTATGTAATACAGATTTAATTGAAAATATGAATGTATCTTCAAAAAAAACTAAATATCCTTTTAGATCTCTTGTTACTGAAGGACTTAGAGAATACCGTATAGGTACTACAGGAATAATTAACAATATTGATCCAAAATCTTGGAAATATAATCGTCGATTTTTTACACAAGCTATGATGGCCCCAAGTTTTAATAATCAAGCTGTTGAATGGGCGAATGAATTATGGACTGAAATGGAATCTTATTGGAATGAACTTGGAGAAAATCATGAATTAGATCTTATAAAATGGATGCAAAGATTTTCAAATGAAATGATTTTTAAAATCTCAACGGGAGTAAAAAATAATTGTATGGCTTCTTATTATTATCATACCTTCGTACTTGAAAGTAATGATTTAGATGAAAAAGAAAAAGAAAAAATTAAAGAATCTGAAAATTTTATTCAATCAATCGAAACATTTATGAGAGGAGCCTTTTACTTTTTTTATTTTAATAGATTTATGCGTCATTATGTTCCTTTTATTCGTGGAAAAGTAATTAGTCTATTAAAAAATAGAGATTTTCTAGACGGAAAAGTATATAAAATTATTAAAGAAAGAAGAATTGAAATTGAGAATACACCATTAGATCAACCTCTCCGTCATGATATGTTGACATTAAATGTAATTGCAAATACACCACGTGATATTAACATTGTGAAACATAGCATTGATGCTGATTTGTTAAGACCAATGACTGACAAAGAAATTTTGGGTAATATACTCAATGCAATAGGCGGAGGAACTGATACTGTGAGTGAAATTTTTTTTTTTTTTTTTTTTACTATATATATTACGCATTTAATTTTAAAAATTCATTTACAATTTTTTAGGTTTCGAATTTGTTTTGCTTCATCGTATATCATCTTGTACATCATCCCGAAGTGGTACAACGATTACGACAAGAATTTGATGAAGTACTTGGAAAGGACGTTACAAAACCCATAACGCAAAATGATATCGATAAACTACAATATTGCGATGCAGTTATTAAGGAAGTACATCGTCATTTTCCTGTAAATTACTCACTTGGTCGTGTAAATATTGAAAAAGATACGGTTGGAGGATATATTTGGCCAGAAAAAACTTCATTTTCAATACTTTACTGTGCAATAATGAAACGAAAGGATTATTGGACTGATCCTGAAAAATTTGATCCTGATAGGTTTTATAAAATTGATGATGATGATAAATATTTACTTGAAAAACAACACGTTAAAAATGCTTTTGCAATGTTTGGAGGTGGAATTAGAGCCTGCCCTGGAAGAAATTTAACGATGATAGAATTAAAATGTTTATTAACCTTAATTTATAGAAAATATGATATTGAATTGGCAGATCCAAATGCACCACTAAATTATAGTTCTACTTTACTTTCAGTTTGTAAAGAATTACTCGTTAAAGTTAAACCAAGAAATTTTTAAAATAAGTAGTATAGATTTAGTACGTATTAAATATACTTGTTTATTATGGTTGTCATTCTATTTGAAATTTTTTTGTTATTAGGAATTTTGAATTTTAATTTAACTGTTGTATTTATTTATATTGATAATAATGTAAAGGCTAGGTCGGATTATAAACTCATTTATACAATAAAATTTTTTTATTTTCTTAATACGCCTCGGAAAATTGTAAATTTTTAGATATTTTAGGTACGCTTTGTACGATAGTAATTTCATAAATTAGGATAATATTTACAGTAGCTCCAATGAAACAGAAGGTTACGGCACGATTTCCTGACGGATGATTTCCCGACAAGACATTTGCCCGACAGGTTTGGCCAGAGTTATATAGAGCTATGCACGAGCACGTGATCAAGTGACCAGCGTTAGGCTGTCTGTAAGCGAAACAGAAATATGGAATATTCAATTGTTTGTCATAACAAAGTAAATAAAATAATCTGATGGAATAAATTATATTGTCAGAACAACGATAAAACGGATTTAAAGTAAATAAAACAATTCAATAAGGTTTGATGAATTAATAAATGAATTAAATTATCATTTTATCTTAACAAAAGTTTCATTTTATATTTTTGGCTTCACCCAAAGCTCCACCTCTAACTCACAAATATAAAATAAATATATTCAGAGTAATATATTCTTATTTTCTTTTGAGAATGAAAAATCACTCTTTCACCTCCCAGTAAAAAGTTTCTATCAAGTTTTTGTATAAAAAATGTAAAATATGTTAGTATAATGAATTTAATACAATTATGAGCATCCATTTATACGAAATTTGTTATAAATATGTAGAATTTTTATTTAGTATTTGAAATAAATTTGTATATTATTTATTAGATTTTTGTAAGAATAATATATTAAATATGTATTAATTTTGCTATAAAATATTGATAATATAGTACTATACTAAAAATAATTAATAAAACTATTTTTTATGTTGCTTCTTATTATATTCTTGTTTATTATCATCATTTTTTTGTTGTGTTATATTACATTTACGATTAGAACGTCTTACTTGAAGGATTTCTTCTTGCTTTTTATATTATGTAATTTTTGTGTTGTTTTATGCTTGCGACCACAATGTTTTACTTGAGGAGCCTCTTGATCATCTTTATGTTCATCAGTTTCTCTTTCTTTATCACTTTTTTGTTGTATTACGTTACACTTGCAACTAGAACTTATTACTTGAGAAGTTTCTTTTTGTTTTTCATTATTATGTGTTGCTTTATGCTTGTTACCATGATCTTTAACTTGTGAAACTTCTTGATCAGTTTCTTGTTCTACATCACTTTTTTGTTGTATTACTCTATCAACTGCTTTCAATATATAATATAATTATTAGTTAATTATTTGTTAAGAATCTATAAAATGCATTATAATTTATACTTACTTTGTGAAGGTTCATTATTAAGTTCTTCCAAACTTTTTATATTTGAGCTGTTAAATTCCAATAATGGCATTCTACAGTAATAATTCTATAATTTCTAAATATTATATAATTCATTGATTAATTTACAAAAAAAAATTCATATAATATTTAAAAATTACCACAATTTTTTGTTGATAAATTTGATCCGCTTGTTTGTTGTTCTTCTTCATTGATTTCATCGTTAGATTCAACCACTTTTCTCTTAAATCTTTTGCTATTTCCATTTGGTTTACGAGATTTAAGTGTCTTTTGAGTTTTATCACTAAGAGTTGATCCTATATGTTTAAAAAAAGAGTATTGTTAAACAATTCTGCTGATCGATTTAAAAATTAAACATATGACTTACGCTTATAATTAATATGCCGACGGATCATCTCACGTTCTTCCCAATCACTTACAGTTCTGGAAAAGATGGATTTTTTTCGAAATTAAACAAATAAAAAATAAACATTAAGTTAAAAAAAAATCAAACTAATAAATTCATGCCAATTATTTACCCTATCAATACATTTATTAATTTCACTAAGAGGCATATCATGATATTCAGTAGTAGGGCATAAAGGATAGAGCTTTTCAGCTACTAAAAGTCTCATAAACTCCTGCAATTTTTAGAGAACAATTTTTTTTTAAAAAAAAATACAATTATAAACATTACAATACCATATAACCATGCCAAATTCTTTTGGTATATGAAGATAAGAAGAAATGTTTTGGTGTTTATATTTTCCTTTTGAAATTGGCTATATGACGTGCAATAAAAATAAATACAGTAATAATCAGTAATAAACCCAAAAAATATGTATGTAAATATGTAATGTTTTAGTTAATTTTACCTGTTCAGGCTCATTGCTAGAGAATTCGGCAGTATCACTTTTTTGATTTATAATCTTTTTTTCATTTTTGTTGTATTATTTTTTCAATTTAACGATCCTTTTTTTATTTTCATTGCTAATTTACTATCAGATGATTTGGCTTCTGATATTTTTGGTTGATTTAATGTTAATAATTTTTTTGTTTTTTTCTGTTTTATTTTGTTAGTATTTTCTAGTTTTGCAATTTCTTGTTTAAGTTCAGCAATTTTTTTGGACGTTTCATTTTCTTCATATTCACTGTTAAAAGAGCTACTCTCAGAGTTGGATGTTTCAGTTGTTTCACTATCATTATATTCCATTTTAGATAATATAGTAAATAGTGAATATTAAATAACTTGATAATATAAACTTATATGAAATTATTTTATTTTTTTTTTCTTGCTTTGGAAGAAAAGATAAAAGTTGTAATCATTATAATCACGAAATTATGCTTAAACTATATATCAATTTTGGTGGCGCAGTATTTACGCCTATCCTATTATTAATATATAGCCCATTGTTGATTTTCTTATCATTAAGGAATGTGGCACAGCTGGAAATTTTAACAAACGTTGATTGTTTTGAAACATTACATAATTTCCTAGCTAATATTGCTATCTCTATACAGCAAATTATTAATGAAAGTTTAAATCTTATCCCATCGGGCATCATTTGCCTTACTTCTTTCATTATTAGACTATTTATGGTGACATTATTATTTCTATACAGTGCTTAGAATTTTTATTATTTAAACTAAATCATATCATTTATAATCATTAAAAATATTATCAAAATTTTAATTATCAAAATAACAAACTAAAAAAAAATGATTACAAAAAATTGTCAAAGAAAAAGAAAAAATAGAAGTAACAAAGGATTAAAAGTCTCTTGTAATTGCCTAAAATGCCAAAGGTTTCCTTTAGATGGATCTAGATGACACGTAAAATTTGGTTAGTATATTGATCATATCCCTTATATTCGGCTGTAATTTTTCTGGGATCATCTGTATTTATTTATCTTTTTTTTTAATTTTGATGAATGTTTTCTAATGTTCATTTATTTGTTTTTTTCTTTTTAGGCATTCTTTGAAGTACCTTAACTATACTTTTTATTAGTATGCAAATATTCTGGTTTATTAGTATAAACAGACTTGAGGTTAGAGGTCATAAGCTATCCCACCAGCTGGCAAATTGTATGAAATTTCTTTAATTCTCAAAGAAAGCCTTGCTAAAGTCATCTTTAGTGTAGGTCTAGTAATACATTGCCTTAATTGAGCGTGGCTACGAAGTTTATGATTCTTAAACTATATATATATATATTGATATAATATTTTAGCATATTTTTCTAATTTTTAAATTTGTGTATTTTTTACATATAGAATATGATATTCCATTAATTAATTTTCACCATATAACAAAGATATTGCAAAAATACGCTAGTTGAGCAATTTATTGATGTGAGAGTGATATAGATTCAAAATTTCAAATGGTGAAAGTAATTAGTAATTGCACGAATTAAATAAATAGTACAAATTTCAAACAAATTTCAAAAATCCATATTAAAATAATTGTACAATTTCTATTTAGAATTTAATAACTTTATAAAAAATCTACAATAATCACACATTTAAGTTTACGAAATAAAATTTAATTTAATATTAAATGTCAGAATATTAATAATGTTACGAAAGCCTACAATAATCATATGATTAAATTTTATGAAAAAATGCGATTTTATTCAATTATACAAATACTAAACAAAAACTAGATAATTATTACAAAAATAAAACAAAAACTGCACGATTTTTATACAATGACTTTTTACTGGGCCTCCCAACCCGTTAGTGGTTTTAAAACGTGAGCATCACCTAGAAGTAGTGCCAATGTAGTTATTGCAATTTTGCTTTTTTTACACACTATCTAACGCAGAAATTTAGTAACATATGTGGTACTAGTGAAATGGAATTAGATTTGTTCATCAATCATTCAATCATCGCAAACAAGTTTATTAAAATTATTCAGAAATATAAAGAGATGAAAAATCCGCACCCAGCTTTTTTTTTTAAAAAAAAAAGATCTCACAACCGGAGACTATTAATTATTAAAGAATTTTTTTTGCCGTTTACAAGATAACTTAGGGATTTAATTTACTTTCAATCTATTAATGTGGACTGTTCAAATTATTCATATTTACAAATAATAATAATAATACACTGGTTGATTATTACATCCAAGTTTTTTAAGTCGTTTACCCTCTATAATAAAATGATGGAATGGGCATTGATTAAATGCCACAACTTTAACGTGATTTATTACAATATGAACGGATACTCCACTAGTCACGTTCACCTTTGCAAATACTTAAACTAAGTAATACAGCAGCAAAGAATTACATAGATCGTACATAATAATATATCCCTTCTATTTACCAAAACGATATGACTTCGATGTTTGTGATTGATAACTTGTTTATGTCCTTTGACGGAAATCCAAAAATGATATATTTTTATCACTTTCAAAATATCATCCAACTTTCTTCTTAAATTGATTTTTTCCTTGAAGTGATCG